TCTCCACAGAAAACAATAATTAGAACCACACTGTGTGAGCCCAAATTAAGAATATTAAGGCCAGAGTCAATGAAGGCTAAATGCTAACATAGCAAAGGTTGTGTTTCAATGAGTGGAAAGAGAGAGAAAGAGCGAGAGAGAGAAGCTTTTAACAGTTATGTTTCTACTGTGTTTCAGCTTTTATTTTTGTTCACTAAAGAAAAGAGAGTCCTTTTGTTTACTAGACAATTTCTCTAGTTTACCGTTTACTCCTTTATTTGCACTATTATGTGTTTACTTATTGTTCACTGTTCTTTTTACTGTTTAGTCTATTTGATATGTGTGTGACATGAAGAAACGTGTGTTTTGCTCGTCATGTACAATTCAATCGCAAAGAATGTTTGAAAAGTATTTATATGCTCTTTAATAAGCTGTAGAATTAGGTTTATTGGCATTGCAGCTGTAATATTATTTTACTGCAACTGCTGACTAGCTTTTTAATATTTTGAAAATTCAATCTTTTGGTGGTAAACCACAAGTTATAGAGGACGGAGATCCTGAACTTTTCCTCCTCTTGATTCAGGCCACTTCAAAACATTTGTATTTTTCCACATGAGGAAAAAACAAACAAAAAAACAAAAAAAAACAAAGATTACATTAAATACAAATGTGCAAGAAATAAGAAAACCTGTGAGAATTTGCTGTACTTTGGACATAGATGAAGCTCAGTTGAGTTCAGTTTTTACTTCACTTTTTACTTCTTCCAAAATGACCGTATGCATTACTGTCTACTGTGGGAAAATCTCAATCCTTTTCATTACTGAAACTTCCTTTATTTGACATAGCTATAAAATCATAGCTCACACTTGAACAAGTACATAAATACTCTTTCTGTATAAGCACAGTTTATTATAATTCTCAGAGGAGAAGCTTTGTTGTGAACACAATGCAAATATATTGAGTTGCCTTGGCTTACCTATTACCAAACAAAGGAAACTTTATGATTTGTAAATAATCTACTGTCTCCATTTAAAAACTTGAAAGTTTAATTTCACAGTTCACAGTCAAATCTTGAATACCTTCCTCATTTCTGAACCCCTTAAAGTTGTACAATTATCTTTGAATCAGAAATGAAAACCTGCACCATTTTGTATCATTTTATAAAAAAGCCAACTGCAGTACAGCTGAGAAAATGTATGGATGGACAATGCACATTTTAATATTTATATATATATATGTTTTTTTATTATAAATAAAACATGTGATTTTTTGAGTTTTCACTTCCACAAAAATCACCCTGGCAACTTATTGGGTGTGCTAGTGTCGATTTTTGTCCCTCACATGAGGAGAAACAAACATCTAATTTAGCCGTTATTGTAATTATTTATCCGTTGAATATTTCCATTGAAGCAATAGTTAAACCACAATTCAAACATTCAAGATTGTTTGAACAAAATTCAGATTTCTTAACTAGTTGTTTATAATCTAAAAACAGTAAATGTTCATACATGAACATTTACATGGAGGGACTGACAGAACGACTTGATCTCACCTATGAAATCTATTATCAGCCCAAATGTTTCATGAGTGATGAGTCTCCTACAGGAAACAACAGCTGTATGTGCAAATCATGCATATAAATCAATTACAGAGGCCCTATGTACTTTAAATGCACCCATTAATTAAGCAATGTCAGACACAATGAACCGTGAAGTTCATTACATTTTTAGCATTCAGACCCAGGATTATTTGAAGACTGCATGAGAGAAGAGGAAGATGGGTTTACCTAATGATCACAACTATAGCTCAAAGTCAGGCAGATGCCAGCGAAACTATAAGGATCGTTTTTTACGAGAGGAGGGAGCAGAACAGAGGGCTGTCTTAGCAATCTGCAACACGCAAGAGAACATGAGATCAAAAGGTAAGCAAAGGATTATAACAACCAGCTTTTTTCTCTTTCACCTCAGAGGAGCTACTCGCGATTCCCACTTGATCAATCTGATGGAAACATTCGCGTTTTCTCAGAACTAGATTTGTTGATTTGGATTAAGCATTCAGCACAAGTGGAAAAGAAATGGCTTCTTTATTGGAATCTTTATGGAGCTGTACACATATTTCCAAATTAATAAAAATCATCTGTCTACATGAAGAGGTTCAAAAAGAATGATGTTATTTTAGAAACTATCCCACATTAAAAGATGCTACAAAACAGATCCTTCATCAAAGAATAATTTTCACTTTACACCATTTAATGTATAGAATCTGCAGGCCCATTTTTAGCATAAATAGATTTTTATAATAAGGTTAGTTTGGTTCCATCCTATTTTACATCCTGTCTGATACTAGTGTTGAGTTTCTTGGGCAGCTACATTAAACTCAACATTATTTGCTTATATCCCTGCCTATGATGGAGTGGGACCATAGCATGACGCTGCCTCCACCATGCACCATTGTGTTGTTTCAGTTGAATCTACAGTATTAGTAATGTCACTAATACAAGTAACTTGCTAAATAAGCAAGCCCTGGCAATCTCAAAGTTACTCAGAAAAGCTTTTTTGGAGACCCTAAAGACCAAATGGAGGTTTGAGTCATGGTTGTATTTTCAAATGTTTGTTGGATTGACCAATAAAAACTTTATCTCTGCTGAGATAGATGTGTCCTGGAATAGTTTCCCGTGTGCAGTATACCATACAAAGGAGTAGCCGCTACAAAAAGGCAAACAACGTGTGAAATGTTGTACTTCAACTGTGGATATATGACTAAAATACCTATTTATAGACATTTTATTTAACTAGTAAGTATGTTTCAATCGTGCAAACTTTTTATTAATGAAGTCTTCTCAAAAGTCTGTCTTTTTCTTCCAAGAAGAGCAACATGCAGAGTTGTTGCTAAGAATTTTTGGTTCCAGTATTTTTTTAAGACAACGGGGGAGTTTGTGGGTGGGTGGGTGGGTGGATGAGGGGGTGTTGGTGTGGGGGGGGGGAGTCAGAGAGACGAAGCTTGGCCCAGCTGCCTGGCATTAAGCAATGACCTCTGCATAATGAAAGATGGCGAAAACATTTCCCACTCATTACAAGGTTCCACACTGTGACAAGATTTGCATATTCATATTTTTTTCCCCTTCACCCCCACCGCCCCTTTTCACTGCAAATTATTATTTTTTTTAAATTTTTTTTCTGTGAGCAGAACCAAGCTCTGGTACAGGAAAAACAATACTAAATATGTGTGTAAACGTAGCGTCTCTGTCCAGATGCCACAAACACATGGCACGGTGTCGACGTCGTCGCTTGCTGCAACCACGCGCGTTTTCTTCCACTTAAGCACCAGGAAATCATGTTCAGGGTCAGTAGAGAGAAATACAGGTTTGACAGAAAAACCCTGTGGAGAATTTAAATTTGCTTTTATTTTTATTGAGTAGTATGTTGCTATGATACTCGTATTCTGGTGCAAAGAAAGGAGTGTTGACCTTTTTCAGTAGATTAATTTGGCCCAACTAGCAATAAGTAGGCTACAGCTAAAAATATATTTTTTAACTATATTAAAAACTGACATTGACATACACTACATACTACCATGTTTTTTTAAAGGTTCTTTTATGCATGAACCAATTCCTTGAGGGACTTTTATTGATCAAAAAATTGCCAAAACGCATAGTTATATTTCAGCTTCAAATAAAAAAAGAATGAAATGTTAGCAAAAATGCAATAGCATTCCCAATCAAAAGAAATGCAGCACAGAACTGTTTGCCCTTAAAACAATCATAGAAGGTTTGAAATTATTAATAATAAGAAGAAAAAGAAAAGAAACACACACATACAGGATGAAAAGTACGAGTTGAAATTCCATCTATTTAGTTGGGCAACTTTAATTCAACTGAATCAGTCTGAGCCGCAGCCGCCAACCTTGCCCGGAGAGTCCCTGATCTCAACGAGAAGCGTAACGATCACCGTAGCACTTCTGAATGCAAACTGTTTTATGTGAACACCTCAAGCAGAGGGCTACATAAATATAGAATTAGTCAAAGTGTTATTTTTTTTTCTTCTTTTTATGTTTTATTTTACCCCCACCCCTTCTTTCCTCACTCTCCAGAAAGATCCCCAGGTTCGGGCTGGCTTCGAGCATATGTGGGCACCTACTTCAAAAAGTTGCAGCTCCCATATGATAGCTCTGCAAAAAGGTTTTCTTTTAACTTAAATCAGCAAATGTGTGGCGCACAGACCTAGCGGCATGTTGTTCTCCCTCAGAAATAATTTCTCCCAGGGATCAATTTGAAATTTAAATTGCACCGAAGTGGTGTTTGTCATAAACAATCAAATATTTGAACCTGGGAATTACCTTTGGCCCCTCCTCTCCCCTCTGTACCTGCGCTTCCCTCGGTTTTGAACAAATTGCATGGGGCATTGTTTTGATGATCGTGAATAAAGAAAGATGGCGATTCGCTCATGAAATATAAAATGAGAAAGACGACAAAGGGGAAATAACATCAAAGACATACATGAAAGAAATTAACACAACAATCAAGTATTTTTGTTGTGTTGAATAATTAAAAGAGAAACTATCACGTTGCCCTTTTAAATAGAAGAATGGTGCGAGTAAAAATAACCCGCTAGTTTGAGTAAATTGGTAAAATCACGAAGATAGAGTATTTAGAGAAAGGGACTGCTTCATGTCATCTCTGAAAGGGAGGATTTCTGCTTAATGTTCATTAAATTGATTAAATTGGGGGTGTAGCACTGTCACTGTTAATAGAGTCATTCCTAACTAGCCTGACTGGCTCTGGCTAGTGTCACACAAACAAGAGCGCAAGATGACAAAATATATACAGTATGTAGTGGCAAATGATCTCTCGAATCAGCTATGCTTAATGATTTCACAAGCATCTTAGAGGTGCAATCATGATATTTTTCAAATGTATAGCGATTTTCTAAATACTCAGAAATTTTGCATCCAATACAAAGCACTTATTTTATTCTGAAACAGGCGTTGTTTAAGCATTCATTCGATTTGAATGCTATATTTTTCCATGTTACAATTTTAAAATATTCTTTTTTGTTTTTACATGAAACAGAAATACAAGATCATGTGTGGCTAAAAAATTACAATCCGTGTTAATCTCAATGCACCAACTCCACGATGACACATGGCTTTGGCAGCACTAAAATGTTGGGATGCTTTTGTTCAACCTGGGAAGCAAATTAAAGCACAATTTCCATCCTGGAACATAGGATGGGCAGAGGTTCACCTTCAAGCAGGGCAGTGACCCAAAACATGCAACCAGAGCTATTTTTGGATGTTTCAGATCATAACATGACCACATGTTAGAACCCACTCAAATTCCTGACTTAAATCCAGTTGTTATGCAAAAGAAAAAAAAAATAATATGAATGTCCTTCACATTTATTTGGTTTCGTTTTCTCTACTCTAAGACTGTAAAGGCCCAACTGCCTTTTGGAGCTGAATGAATATTGAATATATGTGAGTGTGCTGTGTGTGTCCATATGCACTGTCCCTGGCACCCCAAGGCCACAGCTATGATGGTTTAAACATGGAGGTGAGCAGCAACTTCAAGGCCAAAGTAAGGTATATTCTTGATAATGATGAGCACAAATGGCCGCTATGACCATTCGGCAGGACCCCGAACTTGATCCGTAATGGCCAGCCATAAAGGGAAAATCATCATCAATGAAAATGACAGGTTATTAAGATCAGATTTTAGAGGGGCGATGGCTTTAGTATGATAGGTTAGCCATCCATAAAAAGGTCTGAACGACATCAGTCGTGCTCCCCATCATCCTGCACCCTGCGCCAGAGACACATGCTAATAAGCTCACAACCTTTAATTAAGCAATATGTGTAAGTAGGCGGCCATTACAGCCTGATTTGTGAGCCAGTTCATTACACTAAGCACCGGCCAGCAGACACATATTCAATACAAATCAAGCTGGCCTGAAAATTATCCTGTTTAATGTGAGGCCAAAATTGATATTTTATCACTTGTCTTCTGATTAGTGACTTTAGGAATCTTCATATTTCATTCAGCCGAGGCAGTGTGCGATAGCTGACAACCTGCGATTGTTAGAGAGTTGTCGAAGTGTTTATTGACGTTGTTAGGTCACAGATGACTTGTCAGTTGGGTTTGCCTGCATAGGATCTTGGAGACAAAATGTTGCAACCCACAGCACCACGAAATGTACTCAAGACAAAGTTACATGTTTTTCAGTGGAGATTTCTCCATTTTATCTGAAATTGGATCTGGGATCTCTACTGGAATCCCTGCCTGAACGGATCGACACGTACCGACTGTTTTAATTTCATCAGCAGGATGCAGTCACAATTTGCACAGCCTGTTTGTCATGACTATTATTGAACAAATTTTTGTTGATGCAAAAAGTATTGATTTTTCCAAACGATCTTTAAGAATTTCTTAATATTTATATTACCACCTTTGTGTCGCTGTCATGTTATGCGGTCAAACACTTGTCATTAAATGTCACAAAGTTCAAAGGAAAGTAAAAAGTTCATGAAGTTGACAGTTTTTTTTTCTTTGTTACCCAAAAATTGGCATCCAAACGACTTGTTGTGTAAGTTGTGTAAAAAAACTGAGTAAACATGCTAACATTAGCCTAGCATTATAGTTAGCATAAAGAAATGTTTTTGTAATAAACAGCTGTTGCTATCTAGAAACACTGAAATTGCTATGTAAAAAATGTCATTGACTAATGTGTTAGAACACAACCAAACTTTACGTTGTCTTCGTTGCTACTGAGTGAGGTCTGGCAGTCTTGCAAAACTCGAGCCACATCCACTTCCTGCTATCGGTTCCACACGATTGGACCCTAAAAGGAAGAGAACATTTAAAGCAGAGTTGCTAAGACTTTCACTTAAATGAACTGTATCCGATTAACAATAAAGTTTACATGTCAGGAGAAGGGTCAAAGTAACACTCACGGCCAAACAGTTTTTTGCGTTTCCGTAGCTGGAAGGAGATGCTGGCACCTGCCTTGTCCTCTGTTTGACGGGATGAGCTCTGATCCAGGGAAGAAGGCACTTCCTTGGTTGCATTGTCCAGTCCATATAGTTCACCAATCACCTTCAGAACAAAAAAGGACCACTGCTATGTTGCTTCTTATGATCATCTGTACACCTGGATCAAAACATTCTCTAAAGCATCTCCTTTTGCAGCATTGGCAATACATTTATATGAAGCTGAGCTATAATCCAACCTCTGCTGGTGTAAAATGATGTTAAGTTGCCAGACCACAAAAGTGACTCATTAGTTCAGAGGACTCATACTCTGTGCTTGAGAATAGCACAGAGTATGCTAGTCCATGTATGCTCTGAGTGGTGGAGTCACTCAGAGCACTGCACTTGCTGATTTAAGGAAAGGAAGTGATTAAAACACTTGATTTTAATAAATCTTATTCTTATTGAGTGACTCAATGTAGACAATATACTGTATCTTACTCAGGAGCTACTACAAGATCAACTTGAGTACAAATATAGGAAATCCCACTAAAACCTCTCTGATATCCCTTATAAAAATGCCTTTTTACAGCATTTTGTTTGAGATTTTACTTTATTAAAACATAGGCAACCCATCTTATTCTTAATGTAAACAGTCAACTATAGGAGGAATAGAGGGACATAGGAAAAGGTTTCACCAATTTCTCTGTGATGTTAAACCAGTATAAACTTGTCTGATAATTACATGTCGTATGCATCTGAGAAGTTTTCCTGTCAAACAGACATGGCTGCTAGGGAGGCATCAGTCTCCTGATGCTCACACTGCGATGAGCCAAGGACATTCCTTTATCTCTTTCCAAAAGGATCTTTTCATAACACACACATGCAGAGAGAGAATACAGAGCACACTAACTTCCTGCGGAAATCAAATTCATTTTTTTGACGGTCACTGTCGACCTGACGGCAATGAAGCATCGGCCCTAAGCTCCACAGTAGCAATCAAACATGCAGCAGAGTAATTACAAAAAGAGGGGGGAAGACGGAGAATTGATGCAGTTTGTCAATTAAGGTTGCTGCAAGGTGTTTCTGCGAAAGGTTAACTTCTTCATATTCTCTGCATGCTAAATTAGGTCAATATTGGTCCAGTGAAGAGACGTCGTCATTTGAAGTTGGACAGTAGGCTGACTCATGCCATTTATTTATTTTTTTTAAAGAAACAAAACAAAATAAAAAAATCTATATTGACAGATTTAATGGAATATCATGATGAAATTTAAGCTACTCTTCTACAAATTGCTTTTTTTGTTTTCAATATATTGCTACTGCATTGTGATCCCGAACAAATTTGTTTTCTTTGTAGTCTTAAAAATCTGCTACCTACATGGGCGATAACCTCTCCTAATTGCACCGCAACACTTTCACCCCTGCTGAAGCTAAGATAATTACATGTCAGCTAATAAAATCTTATTGTTAAATAAACTGCACACCTTTTGTTTCTGCGAATGAGCACATCCACAAGAAGGAGACGTGGAGAAAAAAAAAGCACAGAAAAATTGCAGAGAAAAGTTCTTTTATTTATTCAAGTCGCTGGAGATGCTCATCATCAGCGCTTTTTCCGAGCCATAAATAATTTGCAGAGAGAGGTAATATTCAAGCTGGCAGAGCCTTAGTTGTGCATCTTTAATGGAAGTTTTACAGAAGCTGAGCCAGTTCTTGCATATGCTGCTGTCACCCATATGGAGGAAAAGGAGACAAAAGGAGCACAGTTGGCTTGTCCTATCTTTTTATAAGTCCGCCGACACTTAAATGCTAGCCTCAGAGAAAAAGCGGCACAGGGGGACATAAACCCACTGTGGTTTTAGGAGGGAAGATAATGACTTTGCCTGCATTAATTTCTTCATCAGCCATCTTGTTTCTACAGACAGAGTGGTTATGAGTCCTTCTCTGAAGGTCCTAGCTTATATGGATGCCTTTCTGTGCATAATTTTGGCCCTAACGGTTGTTGTCGACAGCACATTTTGCGAGTCGGCAGCTGTGGAACATCTGTTTATAGGTAATGAGTATTTGGAAAGCTACACCTCACTTTACCTTTAATGGCTTTTATTGGAGCGCACTGATGGGAAAGGAGCTTTAACTTCTTGTTTTGTTGGGATTCAGCGAGAAGATTCCCTCAGTAGGGTCAGAAACACACACACACACACGCACACACTCAAACCTGCCTCTGGCTACAGACTCAGTGAAGGCACATGATGGATCATTAATATTAACTTTTTAAAGCAGAATTCAACATGCAAGTCAATAAAGAGTTCATTATTGTTATAGTTTTGACTAAACATTCTCAACGGCAACTTTACTATATTTCAACTAATTGCAAAGGATGCGGCACAAACAACTTTCAGTCAACATGGAATGTTTCACAACTGCTGAATAAACAAAAAGATTTTTTTTACTGACTTCTGACTTTTGTTGTCTTTCACTCTCAAATGAAAAGTTTTTGATCTGCCTTCATTTCACTAGCTCCAGGCACTGAGAACCTGCTTTTGTTTTTTTTTTTTGTTTTTTTACTGTATTTACTTAAGGTGCAGATTTGGGTGTGATTTGAAAACCTGATGGCCTTAAAAGCTGTGGTCACTTTAGACTAAGAGAAACAAGTTCTTCAGGGCACCTCTGCCCAAACAAACAGATCTCCTTTAAGTTAATAAGTCATTTAAAATATTTGCTCAGTAATTTAAAATGAGATGATCATTTAAGATAGAGAATATTGGTCATATTGTCTCCACAGTCCAATTAGAACATATTCTACCCTGTGGAAGTGTTCACACAAACTTTATTTTCCCCATTTTGTCATTATACAACTACCTGTGTGTAATTTGTTCTCAGGATAAATACAGTTGTGTGAAGATGTCAGACGTCTGTTTGAGAATACGTTTGTATTTACATCGTTATGGAGAGAGAATAACACCAAAATGGCCAGAAAAATGATAGAGATGCTTAAATCAAGTTTAGGCTACAAAAGATTACTATAACATTTAATCGTCATATGTATCAATGTCCAATCCACAAAGTAGAAGTACGGCCCAACTATAAGGCTACCAAGACATTTCTGTCCACCTGCACTGGGAAAAGTTTGACTCAGGAGACCAGCCAAGTGATTTCCATTCATTCTGGCGGAGCTTCAACTGTTTTGCAAAGAAGAAAGGGCAAGAAATTCTGTGTAGAGATTGATAAGGCATGTAGAAAAATACCCTAGAACCTGCAGGGCTTTTAGGTTATGTCTCTAAATACAATTGCAATACTCTTAACTTGTACTTAGCGTGTCTATATATATATATTTTTAGTTTTACTTTATCACACAAATGTTCTATGAAATATGTTAAGTTTGTAGGTTTAAAAAGAAAATGAATATTCAAATATTTCAAAGGCAAAAGACACATTGATGTGTTAAATGAACAGACATATAGTGAATTTCTGTCAACTTTAAAACAGTTTTTAGTTGTAATGTTCCTAATTTGTGGTATTTGTTCTGACCTGCCTAATTTTTTATTTATCCTGTGAGCTTGATGAATAATAACCTTTTGTTTAATGTGCATGCTGCTGCCAGAATTAAGCATAGACCACTAATGAAATCAGCTGAAGAGTTTTTACAATTGCCTGCATACACCCGGGCTATATATTTAGGAATGGATTACTTTTGAATATGTAAAGATCTGAGCTTTCAGGGTTAGGTTTAGGGCTGAGGGATCAGTTTCATGTGATGTGCTGCTTGGTGGTGTTATTGCTCTGCTCTTCCAGCTGGTGAAAAACAATGCCATCAGCATGACTTGTTACCTAAAAGCCTTTGCCTGCGAACAGGTGAATAGCGCAGATCAAAGCACCATGAAGTGCACCAGGAAGGAGAGAAAGATAAGCAACATAAAGAGCGTGAAATAATTTTCCATGGACGATGACGTCTATGTGTGGCTTCTGTGAATTCTCTGAATGCAGAAGTCCATTGTCATAAACTTTCTTCTTCTCACAAAGAAAAGATGCTGTGATCAATGTTTTTATTGCCAGAAATTAGTGGGAACATCTGTTTGTGTGCTTGCAGAAAACTAATTGCTCTTACCATTTCGTTTGTTTTTGCAATGTGGTATTTGGTAGAAATGAACAATCTTCCTTGTTATGTCATTTGCCTTGCACAAGTCTATAGGCTACACACACATAAACAGGCCAGCATCGAGACACCAGAAACAGATATACTATCATCATGTTCTGTTAAATAAGTTAATTTATCTGGTGGTTTATGATTGAGGGCTATTAGGACATAACAGAGCCTCAGAGCTAATTGTTGGCACATCAAGCATTTTCTCTCCTCACTTCTTTGACATTTCAACTTTAAAATATTAATTTTATTGAGACGATCCAGGTTGCTCGGGGTGTGACAGAATGATTGAAGACTGAATAATACATTCCTGCTTCAGCGGCAGCTCTTTCCACAGATTTTGAGCAACTTTCGAGCATGTAAGTAAATTGTATTTATTATTTTTATAGCCCTTTTCACAGACAGAAATATCAAAAAGTGCTTTGCAGTATATTACAAAACGCAAAACGCCACGTACAATGACAGTTAAAAAACATGATAAAATAAGGAAGGGTGGAGAGAATGCAGTAGGATCCTAATTACCTAAAAGTCTGCAGAAACAAATTCTCCTTTTAAGAAATTAAATGTTGAACTCGATCAGAAAAAGTTTAGCATCTTTCCATCTATTTTCTATGCTTGCTCAGAGCTGTAGGGACATTGGAAGAGAGACGGGGATAGGCAGCCAGTCCACTGCAGGGCAACACATGAAAAAAACAACGAAAAAAAAGACATAAATATATATATGCAGACTCAAGTTACCAAACATTATTTTCACAATTTGGAACCATGGGAAGTAAGTACCCAGAGAGTACACACACATGCATGGGCGGCTGTTCAAACTCCATGCAGACAGATCTTATTCCAGGTTTCAAATCCAGGAAGCTTCATGCTGAAAGGCTATAGTGCTAATAACTGTGTCACCATGGAGACACATTCATCAGAATGAGAAAGCTGTTATGTTTTTTTTTTGTGTGCGTGTAGAAAAAACAGCGCTGCATAAAACATCAAGGTTTGAATCACAACATGCTGCAAAATTTGAGCTATTTCTGGTGCTGCATAGTTTAAGAGTCCGACACTCATCATTGCCTTGATTTAATGATTCCTCATTGCATTACCAGATCAGATAAGGTATGATGGCTTCACAAAGCAAAGACTAACTTTTTGTAGTATCCATCTGCTGAAATGGATACTCTAAAATCTTTGTAATTTATTCCAAAATCAATTACAAAGGGTAGACCCTAAGCCCTTCCTCCAGAGTGTATACCAGGTCTAATCCTATCCAACATCTACATTCATAATACTGTCCATGCTGCTGGAAGTTTCTTTAATCAATTTATATGCTAATGACAATATTTTATATAGATCTATTGGAACCCTGAACACTTTACTATTCATATTCATCTTTATACATCACCTTCTTCCGAAAATAAGCAAACCCAAACTCACAATTTTTACTGTAGCTTACCACAGACTCTGTCCTCTCAATAATTCATTGTGAATGATGTGAAGTTTCTGATCCATGGAGCTGCTTATGATTTGCATGTATTATTTTTTGCTTTTGTTCCTCTATTATGGTTATGTTTGTACTATTTGTTTTCTTTCTTCTGACCCAAAATGATAATTTAATTATTTCAAAGGATAAATAAAACCAGAATAAATAAAGACAGAAGTCTTAATAATACAAAAAACCTGAATTATGGGCATCTTTTTTTTCTGCAATGAGCACGAGACATGCAAATAATTCTGCTTGGAAAATGTATAAGTTGCCCAAAGAATCACTAAAACCCCCCTCTTCTTAAATCTCACCTCAATGATAGCCCCATCAGGTTGTCGGAGGAAGTGTCTGTATCTTTGTTTCAGGCCACTCAGGTACAGAGTTTGGATTACGACATGAGTGCTGGTCTCGCTCTCCGGTGGCAAACCATCCTCAGTGTGAGGCTCATCACCGGGGGCAGTGGGGCTGGAGAGAGAGTCCTCTGCTGTCCAGATAGAGTCATAAACCGCCACCTGCTCACCACAGGCAAAATGAGAGAAAGATGGATGGCATTGTTCAAGTCAGATACTGATAAGTGTTTTGCTTTTTTATGATTACAATAAAGAAATGAAATGGTAAAAAAACAAAGCACATGATAAGGGAGTCCTAAGGGAACTGAAGGGTAGCAGGTATGGGGACAGGCTGCGTTTGTGATCATATGAGCGGCATGATCCAGATTGCCGCTTTGTTCATGACTCCTCTCTGTGTGTTCATGTGCGGGGCTTACACACCTGTAATGTGCTGCTCTTCCATATCAGGGTGAGACATGGGAGCCAGCGGGGCATGTAACATGTTATATAGGTCATGTAACTCGAAGTCATCCATGTGTGAAGATCATGGAAGCTCATTCCCCTCTGTGAAAGTGTTTATGGCTGAAGGCTGGAATGTTGATTTATCAGATCTCTTATACATCAAATCAAAGAATTAGCAAAATATGTATTTACAAAAAAACAACGTGCAATATTCAACTAGAAAGGAAAGTAATTGTGCTTTGCGTTTTCACATCTTAAGGGTTTTAGTGCCTTGGCAAAACATTCCTATCCCTCTAATTGTTTTACCTCATCACAACCACAACCTTTAAAGAATGTTAGAGGGATGATAAACCCATGTAAAGGTATGCATCATTTTTAAGTGGAAAGAAGATATTTAGCATAGTTTTTTAAATATTTTGAAACTAAAACTCTAATACGTTTTGCATATGTTTCCACTAAAACTGCAGCTCCTTTTGAACATTGAACAACTCTTTACAAATGTTTATATCTAAAAAACTGTTCATTTTTTTGCAAATTCTTGGCTGAAGACACAATGTTATGACCACCCTGTTATCAATTGTTATGATAACAGGGTGGTCATAACAAAAAGTTATGACCACCCTGTTATCAATTGGAGTTTGGTAGAACTTTGTTTGAGCCATTGAGGCTACCTATTGCAGCTCTGGTTGTATATTTAGGGTCATCTGAGGGATTAAAATGAACAAACTTTCAAAACAAAACTACATGGAAACTTATAACTAAAGAATAACATGAATATAAAAAACACAAAACAAATATAAAACACAAGGTAAAAGATTATCACATGAAATCCCCCCAAAAAACAAAACAAAAAAAACCCCAACAAAAAACACACATTGAAGTTTGTGGTTGTGACATGATAATGCTCAGGAGGTATGGATACTTTTGCAATCCACTGTTAAAGCCATTAAGTGAATTTCAACCAGACAGCAGGCTCACAGTAGTGAACACTACACACACACACACACACACACCCACACACACACACCACACACACACACACACACACACACAGACACACACACACACACACGCACACACACACACACACACACACACACACACACACACACACACACACACACACACACACACGCATGCAGTCAGAGTCATAAAGAGAAGAAAGTTCTTCAAGGTGACCCCCTAATTGGCTGTGTAATTATGATTCGTTTAAAAATACAGAGAAAGAAAAAAAGGTAAACTCATTCAGTGGGCCATGAGTGGCAGGGTCAAACTGAAGGAGGGGCGGCGTATCAATGTCACCCTCATACTTATAAACGCAAACACAACTCTAGGCACTTCGCTGAGAAAACAGTGGAAGCCATTACCAAAGTTGTAATTAGAGACATAGCATAAAGAGCAAGGCAGACACCCCAGTAAGTAGAAAGGCCCTCATTGTCAAAGTGTCAAAGAGGCACAAAAGCAAATGAGAAAAAGACTGAAGCATAGTATGTAAGAGAGAAATAAAGACAGAAAGAGAGAGCAAGAGAGAGAGAGAGGGACAGAGAGAGAGAGTATGTTTGGTCTAGGGATACAGGAATGCATCTCTTCCGTCGTAATTTAGACTCATTAGAGAAATCGCATCAACTGTGCTTTGCTTCAAGCTTGGCCTCAGCCCACACTAGTGGTAACTGATTACTTGAATTTCTTAAGTAATCAGCACCTCTGCAAGGCAGTAATCAGTCTGTTTGGATAGCATGTGTACATTGATGTTTTCTTTTTCTTTCTCTCACACTCTCTCAGAGAGTGAGAAAGTTGGATTTCTTCCAATACAGTCATGTTCTTATTTGTGTAGGAGTGTGTACACTATTTTATTTGGAAGATTGTCCTAATACCTGATTCACAGGTATCTGGCAATATTTCAGTAAGACCTGACACCTGTATGTCAGGTTGTGAAGAAATTTGATCTGCTTACATTACAACTCAAAAACAAAACTTTTGAGTTAGAACAACTTATTTGTTCAGACTCTTATGATGTACATATAAACTAGTATTAAGTGGCATTAAGGTGAATTACCTTACTGCTGTAAATGACTAATGATTCTCATTTCTGTGCCACTGTGTGGCACAGAAATGCACAACTGCTTTGATGCGAAAGTTATTTTTGGTCTTGTGAAAATCATATAAACAAATCTTGAATTATTGATGTCACATCCAACCAACATTTACCAATTGGTACCAAAAGGACACAAAATGGGTCACAAAGATGGAATGGCATGGGGTTAGATGCATTATCTAGTTTGAGCTGCTTTTCTTAATATCTGTTTAAAAACCGATATCTTTTTCCTGATATGTTTTTAAACTGGAATCTAACTTATAGATTTTGTATTTAACTAAGCCAGACCTGCACCTAACAAGAAAACATGTGATCATTACAAAATTCATCAGGAAATAGTCACGTGAGTTCTGGTAGCACGCAAGTTAAAAACAATGTGATATCATCTCCGTACCATGTGCATATTATGTGAGGCTTGCTTTGCAGAGAATCAACTTCACAGCAATGTTTTTCTATTGGTCCAGGGCTAAAACTCTAACAGAAGAAAATGCTCTAATGCATAATAAATCTTCGAATTTAAATGGTCTCGTCTCACAACTTGCCTTGTATCTATAGTCCAACAGATTGTTAGAGTTACGTAATATAAAGGTCTGATACAGTACAAACATACAGTACTGGTTTTCTGGTTGAGGTTGTCATTCGATTCTTAAGTATCGAAACAAATTGTAAATGAAACATCTTTCTCTTCCACTGGCCACATGTGTGGTTGTGACTCAGTTATGGCCCTTCACCAGAGTTCTGAAAACCAAGCTGTACAGTGATGATAGAAACACTATGCATTCCGAGTCTATGCTATACGTCACTTTGGTTAAACACACCTGCTCAAATTCTCTGTTGTGGTTGAGCAAGGGTATGTTTTTTGGCGTGCATGAAAATAGGTTTGTTTTATGTTAGCCATGCTACCGTCCTACACTAATTAGCATGTGAAATCAAGTTGACAAGATTAGACAAAAGCTTGAAAAGGTGTTTGTGTGTTCTATTTGGATGATGCCATTTCATGCAATGCACCATGGCTCTCAGGAAGCATCACTGCTGAGACACAAAAAGGAAAGAGCATTAGAAGAGGCCTGTCTGCTCAGCACTACTCTGTTCTGGTCTGTTGTGTTACGTTATGGTGCTACTCTGGCTTCTAGCCCCAGCTTGAGTGCTCTCTCCACTCCACCATTGTTCCATTTGATAGCACTAAGTGACTGATTTAGGTTCAATGCCTGCATGGAGCAGACAGGCCAGCTGTGGGTTAAGCAGATAGCATTCAAGTGAGTTAACCCAATTCAAACCCAATCAAGCCAGGATTTATTGTCGAGGTCTGTATTTAGAAATCTGATAGAGTCTACATCAGTCATTTGACTTGTATCAGGAAAGACGGGTCTTGTTTTCTTTTAGTGGAAGACTATAAACGGCAAACCATGTTTTCCAGCAGGGACATAAATTTTGAAATTTGCAGACATTACCACAAATCAGCATTGGAAGAGAAGGAGAGGCACAGGATCAGGAAGTGGGGATGGTGCATCTGCTGTTTGACTCCATGGTTCACCATATAGCCTCTTTTTTTCTGGGGGAAGATGCAATTTCACACCCACCATTCCATATCATTGTGCAAATGATGAGGAAAAAACATCAATCAGACTGAATAGAAGAGCATTATATTTACAATACATTATGACTTGTCAGTCATTTGAGTGTGGAGAAATATTTCTCAGACAGACCATTTAAGTGGAGCACTATTTTTGTAGATTTGCTATTGTCTCAAATGATGTACTAAGCAGTGCCTATGATGTGTCAAAAGGCTTTAGATTATTCTCCCTAAACCTGGCCTTTACCTTCTCTGCTCTTTCTGGTGTGCTATGTGAAAGAGCAGAGCTGCAATGCTGTAAGTTCAATAATGTTGTTTACCAAAGACTTTCACAGAACAGCTGAAATTTTACCTACATTACCCAACAAATGAATTGAACTTAGTTATGTGACAAATGAGGGGAATTGTTTTAGGGGTTATGAGGCAAAAATACTCATTTACTCCACATTTTTCAGATTTTTATTGTGAAAAATATTTTTTTCTGTTTTCTCATATTCTCATCTTTCCACTTGAAAAAATATATGTGCTGCATCACGTTGTTATATTGCACAAAATACATTCATGTTTTCAGTTGTAATTCGGGGCAGTATAGCTACTTTTACAAGGCAAATTGTCTGACACTTTGTGTCATGCCAGTTCTTAAGTGCATGTCTGCTATTGACTCTCATGGAACAGCATTCTTTTTTTTCTTCACTTTTTCACAGCGTATCCATCTGGCTTACCCTGCTGACAACCAAAGCAGTTCAACCTCAACCTAAGGACCTTGTTGTAAGCCTCGCTATTCTTCAGTGCTCAAAACAGTGTGTCAAAAAAGGAAAAGGACCTTCAGGCAAATTAGAAAAACATTCACCGTTAAGAGATGCAATTATTAATCTACCTTTTGGAATACTGACATGGACCAATCAGTGATTAATAAACACAAACAAACACAGCCCTAGGTAGAGTTAATTTTGTGAACTAAATATTAACATTTTATTGAGAAAAGTCTTGGCACATGTCAACCAGTGTTTATGTTTTAAGACACATGTTTGTGCACATAGTCTACGGTGTAAA